AGCTATCAAATAGAAAATCAGACCCCTCCTGCCACATCCTTCCCTTCACAATTCGTTGATAGTTTTCTCTTACGTTTCATTATATATATTACTTATAACCAATAGAAAATCAAGGTTTTCATCTATCAAATGACATATTGTATAACGTTGTATTTTGAACAGAATATCATCAGTTTCACTCAAAGTACATGATTCTTTCCCATGGGAAAGTTAACGACTAGCTTGGATGAATTTGTAATGGCTCTTGTCACATAGTTAGAAAGCCAGGTCAATTTTGAAAGGTAAGGGAATTTGTCTACTTTTTGCATGTCAATAGTTCTATATTCTTTGGTGCATTATTTAATTAATTAATTTATTCTTTATTTATTATTATAAAATAACTAAAATGTAAAAATATGGATCTTTTTAAGTTATTTAAGACTAGATTAGGTAAAATAAGTAATAATAATAATATAATTGAAATGGTTCATGAGGAACACACACGAGCAGCCCATAACAGCTCGTGAGTAATGTAATTTGATAGCGTAACGTGACCTGCACCTTATCCAAGTGATTTACACAGTTCAAAGGGCAGTAAAACAATAAAATTTAATTATTAATAGATGTATACTGTTATGAACTTAGAGCACTATATTGAGTTATAAGTATTAAGTCTATCAAGACTTTAAACGAGTACAAGGTCACATGGTCGGTCAAATTGACTGAGCCTGTATTGAGAGTTAATTGGGAGGAGGAAAAGGCTGTCAAAATCCACATAATCATGAACAGTTTCGGCACATTCAGGAGGAACTCGATCATTATCAGGAGAAGAGCTCAACTCAGATAATGAACAATCTTCCAATGAATAAAGGCTGAAAATCCCTCAGACGAGTTCCCCTGACCTGAAGCCTGTGTATGTGTGATAACAGCAGGTGGTATAACCTCCAAAGTGGTCACATTAACTTCGATATTCATCGTACAATGATGAAATTTTGAAAAATTATTCAAATAAAAGATAACTAAATTTTGCACAGAAACCTATAAAATTGAAAACAGGAGTAAAATTTAGAAATGATCTTTCCACTTTGTAAGATATTAATAAAGAAAAAAATGCATGAATAGAGCACACTCAAAACACAATTGTAGCACTGCCAAACAGAGGAAGCTACATTTTTCAAGAGACTGTGTCACACTTATTGATAGCGGGTTATTGCATGATGACTTGCATTCAAGATGCAGTGGAACCACAATAATCGTGGGTAAATGGGTGCAAAGATTGTGGTATGCAAAAAAACAAAATGTCTACAGAGGGCAGCACTGAACAATACAGCTATATATGTACCGTATCAGAAATACAGAGTAATTTCTCTGGTCACTAGTATGCAATGGCAAAAAAATGTGGCATTTGGTTAACATACATATGAATAGTTCACGGAAACCCCAAATTGTACATTCCTCACTGAGAAATTGAGCAAAAGACCTGCAAAGAATATTTTTGTACTAAATCCCATGTAAACTGCTCAAAATATGGCTAAGTAATTGACCAAAACCTCTAAAATTATAGATTTATTTAACCTTTTGAACCCCCTAAAAGGATAGTCAGGAACCTCTACTCCGAAAAGTAGCAGTACAGGCTATATAACAATGAAGAGTCCTGACTGGACACAAAAGCCTATCCAGATCCAGTTGAGGGTAAAGATGAGAAATAGGAGAAACCACCCTTCTGAGTTTCTGAAATCTTCTGGAGAAAGGAATGATCCAAATAAAGGAGAAGATAGGTAGGTGATAAAGGGTGTGTGAAACATCAATGGCAAACAAATCCGACATTTGACGTTCACAGGCTTAGAGAAGAATGAAATATATTTTAAGAGAAAGATGAAACATGGAACATGAGGAAAGTGGTTCAAACAGAGGGGTCTGATTTTCTCTTCGATAGCTCTGTACCCAAACAAAATTGAAGATTATAAAAATTATGGTTTGTCTGAGCAATAATGATTTTATAGAGTAATTTATAATTAATTTCGTATTTTTTGAGGAGTGGCGGATAAAATAGGGATGATGACATGCTAAGAGAAAATGTGTCCCATGGGTCACAATTGTGGAAATTCAGGATTTTTTTAAATATTGCCTTTTAGAATTAAGAACTTAAAACTTGTATACTTTTAAAATATGGATTATTAGCTAAGATTTTATGCTATTCTAATTGGTATAACATAAACAAAAAGTAGTTGAATAAAACTTTGAGTGTAAGATACTAAAACCTTGTGTCATGCACAGTAAAGGATAGCTGGTGTGATAGGGTTAACTGGTAAATACTAATATAGGAACTGGGTTGAATGAAAGCAAATTAAGTAAAAAAATAACCACTTCATGAGGAAAACATCAAGCATTAAGCACATAAAAGAGCATGCCCAAACTCAAACACTGCCAAACGAGAAGTGATAGTTTGGTAGAGGAGGACAGAGGGAGTCACATGCATCATGTGAGCATATCATGTTCCTGGTGGTTAGGGGGTGATGCATGATGATTTGCATGAGAGACATGTTGGAATATAGTAATTCTAATAGGAAAGAACAGAAGGCTTGTGGCATGCATAAAGAAAAAGTTTGCATATAGAGGGCAGCACTGAAGGATAATAGCTAATCTTGTGAGAGGAGGTAAATACCTTTGTACCAAATTCCTTGTAAATTGGTCAAAATACAGTCAAGTAATTGACCCCAAATTATGCTTTTTTGAGAGATCTGCCCCCCCCCCCTAACAGAACTCAAAATGGGCAAATGTAAGTTTTTTGTATGCCAACATGTTGAGTGCATGAAAATTTATATTTGTGTTAATTTTTATCTTGAATGTTGCAAGTATGACCACACCACACAGGAGCAAAAAATATACAATTTTGGGTTTGACTTTTGGCCCCATAAAATCCTTAAACAGGCCTAATTCATAAAAATGAAAAAGGTGTCAAGGCATATTGGACCAAAGTATAACACTGCCAAGTTTTAAGAGCTTTCTAGCTCATTATAACTTTTAACCCTCTGGAAACATGTAGGACAAAGTGCATGTCATAACCTCTTCACAGAGTTAAACTATTTTATTATCAATGTATGTCAATAAACTTGGCATAAAGACATAGTTTATATTTAAAATTTTCATATTACCTAAGTTTGATTTCTTTATTTCAAAAGCAAATATTTAAAATCCCTAATCTTCCCTTCACTGAATTGTGATACATTGCTCTGAAATGCACATTTTATATATTCTTTCCATCCCTATTTGAGCTTCTGAGTTTTATTACAAATTACACACACTTATAGAATAGATATTGCAAAGACAATCAAAATTTATAACCTCCAATTTTATTGCTTTACTACGATATAAACCAGAAAATCAAACCCGCATGAGACATCCAATTTTTCAAAAAATGTCAATAATTCACTTCAATATTTGCTATTAAATTATTTATAACCAACATAAGAGATTTTAATTTACTGAATTATTTTTAATGGCTAGCTTATTATGACAACAGGTTGTAAAATAATCTGCCACCAGTTTCATTCTTTGCTATTGCTGAGCCACCTCAACCAGTCAGAGAAATTATTTTAAATCACATTAGAAAGTCAGTTAGATAGCCAAAATACAGAATAAAATATAAAGTTTTGGTGAAAATTTTTTTTAATATTCATTTAGAAGGTTATGCAAATGAAATATGAAAACTATAAGATGAAAAGTTTTTATTCGTAACATGGAAATCACCTACAATTCAGACTAGTCAGAGAAGTCACAATGACAGAAGTAAATTCACAGACAAATCTAAAACATTTAATTCAAAAATCTGATTTGTTTTTGTATAGAACAAATTTGTGATGTTTACAAATAGATTATCAAATTTCATGAAGGTACATTTAGTTAATTCAGAGTTATAGGATGTAAACTTTAATAGTTATGCGATGGTCACAAGGTCAATCAAAATGACAGACTGTGTGCGGAGGGTTAAATGAAATCATTATTAATATAGGCATGCCTACTGCAGATACAGTCATATCTACATATACATAAATATTAAAAATCTAATCACATTGCAAAATTACTTTGAAATTTATATAAACATCAAAAACAAATCACTGAAATAAGAGCCTTCCCATGAACATAGAATCCTTCACTTTCTTACAGTGGAAGTTATACAATGTTACATTTTACCGATACTTAATAAGCCAAAAATGCAGTGATAACTCAAAAAATGTATTTGGTCTAACCTTTATAATAGTTAAAATAGTGCCCAAAAAAAGCACTCATTGTAATGTACATATATGTACAAAAGAAATAGATGCTTGATTGAAACTAAAATCTTAATTACATCTACTAAACTGTGCTCTTTTAAAAAATATAACTATTAATAGTATTAGCTGGTTACCTTTTTACTTTTAACAATTGGCCTTATTTAGTTATTAGGATTGACTCACTTGCATTTGTCTGTTACACTAATATCAGTCCAAGAACTTAGTTTATATTTATCTCCAAGTTAACCAGGAAACCCAATCAATACACCTCATCAGTATCAAAACAGGAAAATATAATGCTAAAAAACTTACAAAGTGAAAAACATATGCCATGTTATGAAGTTCAAATCAGGCCAAAACAGAATCTATTAGTATTAACTAACTACTGCCTATACTTTGGGCCTAGTAAGTTGTAATACTGTATACTAATTACTAGTAGTACTTTGTGTGGTTTTGAATTTTAGTGCTAAAACAGTTAGTATTACTATTAGTTACACAGGAGTGAAACTGAAAGCAAGGAACTACATCATAAAATGGAAAAATATATATATATATATTTATATGTTAAAATGTCCCTAACTTAAAGAAAAACTTAAAATCCTGTATTCACTGCTGTATGCACAATCCTTACAAATGTTGGTCCAGTTTTTCTCTCTTCATTTTTTTTCTTTTCGCCATCTTGAGATTGTTCACTACTATGGCTGTGACAAGCCTTAGTCGCTTCACATTCTTTTTGTGAGGCTTCTTGCATCTTTTTGAACATTTCGAGAAAACTTCCATCATTGGCATACATATTTAAATTTGATGGTCTAGACGGATAATAGTTAGTATTGTAAGTTAAGATATTTGCACTAAAACTGCTTCTGCTGTCTTGATTATCATAACTAATTTCCCCATCAGAACTCGAGCTGCTTTCACTACTGTTCTCCATCTTGGAAATAGAACTTTCGAAATAATATTTGCTTACAGCTGGTTATATTTACGGAATCGAACCAATCAGCGCTTGCTTTACTGCTCACTATTGCTAGTATTAGAGCATGGCATCATCGTCTGGCAGTAGATCCATATTACGTATGATTATTAAAAACTTTATTGAGTCAGTAACTCCTAGAAAGAGAAGAGGTGATTTTGTCGGAAGAGATAATTTTGGAAATAAGTATTATGAAATACCTCCTGGTAAGTTTTGTAAGTATATATAAATATAAAGCATTACCTGTTTGGCTTACAAGTTACAGCTATCACTCAGTATCAGTTTGTAACAAACTTACATCAGTACGCTAGAATTTAGAAACCCTACGCTACAGAATTAGTCGTAACGTAGTGCCTCTACCACTGTACCATTATAGACATTTGAAGTTAAGTGCTACATTACTATAATAAGTTTGAATAGTACATAATCCATCTTTCCTTTCTTTAATTTCAAAGTATCTACTTAAGGTGCATCATCTGTGAGGTTTCTGCACTTAACTGAAATGTGACTACTAATCTAAGTGGTTGAGATATGAAAACCGTAAGGTAATCCAGTTTCTGCATCTCCTATAAACATTATTGAACCTAGTACTTCTTGCATACCAGGTGAATACTCTAGTAATTGGGCTAAATGGTTAACTCACAACCTTTATGTCCAGGGCATAAAGTGACTTAATAAGTTGGTGGTGTGCCAGATAAATAGCAGCAACCATGATGTGAAAAATTACATAGAGATCCAGGAACTGCATTAGTGTTAGGAAGCTGGAGGATTTTTGGGGGTCTCGAAAAATATTAAAATGGAATGTGAGGTTCTTCATATAAGCCATATCCAAAGAAACTAATATTTTCACTTCAATGTGTTTGTTTCTTGTTTCTTAATTGTTCAATAAATACTATAGTATAGGCCAAAACAAAAAGACAAAATCTTTTTGATAAATCCTCTATAAATCTTTAAAATAAACAAAAGTACTTTTGCTTCTCCTGAAAAACTATTGAAAATTAATTTACATCCGTTTTAGTTCTACGTCTAATAAATATGCATTAGTAGTAGTAAATTAACAAACAATGATTTGTAAACATAATCGCATTTATTGTGAAACAGGTTAATAAAAGCAGACTTCTTAAGATAATAGAAAACTGCAAGGCAAAATATAGTTTTTGCTCTTGTTTTCAGGATAATTACCAAAATACTTTACTCTGAAAATCACGTATTTTTTTTACACTGTTGTTACATAGAAATATGGCAAAATGTGGTTTTGTAGGTATAGTTTAAATGTGAAGACAATTGTTAAAAAAATACTGTCTCATTTTCAGTTAAATCTGTAACATTCGACTTAACCAGGGCGACTAGTGCTACCCACATGAATTGTCATTTCTGGTAAAAAAGGAGATTGTTACCTCAAGAGCTTATCTGACCTATCATTGGAGAGAACTGTTGTTAACTTCCGTTCACAAGGTGCAGCTTTACAACTGTATTTTCCACAGACAGACCAAGTATTAGCTCATGAGAATGAGACCAAATATGGCTAGCAAGTTAACATTCTTGACTGTGCATTATGCCAAAACTGCACATATAACACTTGTATAACTTAAGAATTTGAAAAATTCCAAAACTAAAATAAGAAGGTATAAAACCCATGATTTGCCTGTATGCTGCACTAGGATGAATCTTGGGATGGCAGGGTTATCTTATAAGGATGGGTTAAGATCTCTTAACTTACTTTCTTCTGAGAAAAAAAAGTTAAGAGGTGATCTTACCAAAATCCAAGATTATCTGAGGAATTAATGGATAAAGATATCTTTTTTTTTCTGATATGGTACATTACCTCTTCTCACATGTATAGCTATTCTCGTTCAGTGCTGCACTTTATATGCAACAATTTTTTCATATATGAGAGACCTTAAACTTCCACATACCCCATGATCAATGTGGTTAAACTGTGTCTTGCATGTAAATCATCATGCGATAACCCTCCACCAATAAGAGTGCAACACACCCTCCTGTGATGCATATGACTCCCTCTAGTCTATTCTATCAAACTATCTCTTCTCGTTAGGGAGTAATCTTGTGCAGAAGTTTTTTATTTTGTTCTCTTCATGTGTTTTGCTTTGATATTTCTGTAAAGTAGAGATTTCATTTAAATATTTTACTGCAGTTTGTTTTCTGTAGTTTTAACATGATAACTTACCTTTGTTTGTTCTTTTTTGAATTATTTACCATTTATAATGAATTCTGAAGTTCATGTTACTACTTTTGAGTTTCTTCTACCTACTTGCAGCACAATTACACAGGCTTCAGGTCTGTGGACCTGAACTGAATAATTTTCAGCTTTAATTCATTGGGAGATTGATCATTATAGGAGTTGACATTCTTCTCCCGATATTAGTTGTCTTCCTTGTGTATCTGCTCAACATGTTCATAATGAGGAGGGACTTTAACAGCCTTTTTCCTCCACCTAACTATGCCGTGCCTTACCAAACCTATCGTGCAGAATCTGCTAAGTGTAACTCAGCCTTTTTAGATATAATTTCTCAGGTGTGTTCCATTTTATCCATTTCCCTGACTTCTTATGATCATGTTCCTTCCTTATTACATGACATCCCTCATCAGAGTATTTTCTTTGGGGGTGAGCCTGAAAATTCTATCAGTTTATCCCCTGCATAGTTTTCCCACCTTTGTCTTACCCTTACTGCTCTCCTATGGTACTTGTCCACCATACAGTCCCTTTCTGAGACACTCCACCTATCTCCTGGGTTTTTTTAGGGACATCTCTTCCCTAATTACTTCCACATTGGCACGACTGTCCTCTTTGGCGCTATCCCTTCACACCTGGTTTCTTTACTGTTGGGATCTTCTGGGGAGGGATGTTGTCTTGTCCCATGTTCATATACCATCCATTTATCTTTGGAACTTATGGATGGCTCCTTTTCTGCATTGGCCCATTTTTGGTGATATTTCTGAGGCTTTGGAATTGCATGTGGAATTTGTGAGGCTACATTTGACCTTTTTATTTTTGGTTACTCGTTTGTCTCATTCTGAGCCCCTACAATCTCCTGTTCCCATTCCCTGCCTTGCACCCTCCCATCCTTTACCTGTTTCTGGCACTGGAGGTTGAACTATGCCTTGTGTTTCTCGATGTAGGATTCATCTTTGCCAGCAGCACTGGTGACTATCCTTTGGGTTCTGGTTCAGTTGGGGCTTGTTTGACTGTTTTTGTTTAACCTTGGGTTATCCAGGTCTTGTCAGAAGGACTTTTCATCTGTTTCCTTTCTCCACCCTGTTTTATCCTCTACTGATATCCTTTATGTTACCTCTGGATCTTACTACCAGGCAGCATCGATCTGAAGCAGTGCAGATAGTTATCAAGCCTGTTAGCCAACCTTCCCTAGGTTTTTATTCCAGGCTTTCCCAAGATAGCTGGGGAATGGCATCCTGTGATCGATCTGTCCTGCCCCAATCGGTTTTTAGATCTTCCCAATTTTACTATGGAGTCTTTTTTTCATACTGCAGTGGGCTTTTTCTCCAGGATTGTGAATGACCAAGGTAGACATATCGAATGCTTATCTCCAAATTCCTATTTCTCATCAGTCACCATGCTATCTTTGGTTTGTTCACCACAGGGTTGTTTATCAATTTAGTGCCTTGCCCTTCGGGCTTGCTTCAGCTCTGTATGAATTTTGTCGGGTGGTCCAAGTATTTGCCCAACTTTTTCATGCTCAGGAGTTGCATTTCCACCACTACATGGACAATTGGCTTCTGTTAGCTCATTCCAAACTTATCAACACACACACACACACATCTGCTGTTGATATAAGCAACTCAGGTTAGTTGTATTCTCAAGTTGGAGAAGTATTTCCTTTTGCCTACCCAATATCTTATCCACTTGGGTGTATTATTCAATAACCATCTCATTAGGCCCAACTTTCTCCACTTCGTCTCTTTTTGATGGGGCTTTCAGTTCTTCATGCATTTACTGCTACCTCTGTTTCTCAACACGAAGTTCTGTTGCTTTTAGGGACTTGGGCTTCTATGGAAGCCCATATCCCCTTGGATTGGGCACATATGCAGTCTCTTCAGTGGACTTTGCATGACCAATGGAAACTTGTCTAGGATCCTTTGAACTCTCTCATTACCCTTCCTCCTCCCCTTTTAGACGATCTGCTTTGGTGGTTGAACAAGAACAACACATTGTCAGGTTTATTGCTTCCTCCACCCTATCCAGATTTGTATCTATTCACAGATGCTTCTCTCCATGGTCAATCACTCGGAGGCTTCTGAACAATGGTCTCTGGCTAAGAAGTCTTACCAAATCAACATATTTGAGCTTCTGGCAGTACAGTGTGCTTTGGATCACTTTCTTCCTCTTGTACCGAATTAACTTGTCATGATCCATCCATATAGATCTCACAGAGTGGTCTCTTGACCCTCAGGTTGTCCATTGGCTATGTAATTGGTGGGGTACTCCTCATCTGGATGCATTTGCCACTTTCCTCAACACCATGTTACCTTTTCTTTTGTCTCTGGTTCCTCATCCTCAGGCCCCAGCTGTAGATGCTCTCAGCCAGGATTGAACCAACCAGTACATTTATGTTTATCCTCCCATATGACTTCTTCCCAGGGTGGTTTGAATCATCCATGCCACTTTGTGTCAGATCCTTCTGATTGCTCCTTATTGGTTGGCACAACCTTGGTTACTTCAACTCTGAACTCCCCGTCTTTTGCCTCTTCCTCTCTCACTATCCCTATTAGGTCAATTTTGGTCACCGATCTTTCATCCCACATTTCCTACCTTATTTCTTCATACCTGGTATTTATCAGATCCCTGGCAAGGAGATCTGGATTGTCTAGGTCTGTCGCTTCCTTCTTAATACAGTCCATTTGCGTTTCCTCTATGGAGATTTATCCTCTGTTGGTCTTTGAGTTAGGGTTTTTTCCCTTCTCGGCCCACTGTTTCTTTTATTATGGATTTCCTAACATGGCTGTTTGATCATGGGACTTCTGTCTCTTCCATAGCTGATTAGCAAACAGCCTTATCATACACCTTCCATTTTTCCCAGTACCATTTGGTGTTTTTCTATCCTCCCTTTTGTTACTTTTCTTCCAGATTCATAGACCTCCTCACTGGGCAGTCCTTCCAGATTGGATTGTCAGTGTTGTTCTTCATTGCCTTACTTTACTTCCATTTCAACTTTTGCCCTCATGTTCCTTGTTTCAATTATCCCTTAAGATTTATTCCCTACTCTTGTTAGTATGTTGGCATCTTTGTTCAGGTATATTTATTATTGAACTTTCTCACACACTGTACTATTCCACATATGTTCTCCTTTATTCAGATCAGTCTTTCCCCCCCATATCCTACCTTTATTCCCAGTCTGATCCAGATATACTTCCATGTCCGATATGTGCTTTAATTTGTGACATTACCTGCATTGCTCCCTTCCATTATTCTCGTTCCTGCCTTTTCATTCCCTGGCAACTTTCCTGTTCATGACCTTTCTCCATCTAGCCTTAACAGGTGGGTTCGGCATTTATTCAGTTGGCCTATTCATCCGTGTCTCCTTTTTCCTGAAATCTATTCCAGGTATTGTCGCATCAGGTCCGGTACCTTACTACTTCCTTGATGTCTCACCTCCATCGTCTGTTGGAGGCAATTCTTCAGTTGAGCATGTGGACTACACCTTATATATAATTTTTCTTTCAGTGACAAATCCCTTTTTCATTTCAGATCCCACTCTATGTAGAACATTGCCTGTCCAGGTATATTTGTTATGGAGGGTGGTGTTGTGCTTCAGCTTCATTATGGTCCTATCTGGGATATGATGTTGCACATATCTACGAATAAATATGCTCTATCTCCATGCAGTGGGTCCCAGAGGTTGATGTTGCATGCAACAACTGTGCAGTTCTATCTGGAGGGTGAGGTTGCTTATATTTTATAGATGCAATCCAGTTCCGTGCGGTGGGACCGAGGTTGCTATTAAGCTCCAACCTTCGAGCGGTCCTATCCAGAGAATGATATTGCTTTAGTGTAGATCCATCATATTGCAGTTCATCCCTTCGATTGGGATCCTTCGTCCTACCATTACTAGGATGTCAGTTCCCAGTGAGTGGTTTTGGATTAGAGCTGGACCTGTCAGCATAAATTCTCACACGTGTTGGTTGTGTTTCCTCTTCCTCACTCAGTTTGGTTCAGGATCTCCACATCCAAGCATTGTGTTCCAGAGTCTGATGTTGTGCTCAGCTTCTGTGCTGTTCTATCTGGAGGATGAAGTTGCTATATATTTACTATATATTTACTTGCTTGCAGTGGGACCCGAAGGGTGACATTTCACTCTGGCTTCTGTGCGATCCTATCCAGAGGATACTGTTGATTGAGGAAATGGTTCTTCCTCTTACATTCCACCTCAGGGTGTTTTCACTTCCTGAGGCTGATGTTGCACAGTGGGGTGCCAGTTTGATTGAGTTTGATGTAACCTGCCACAATGGCACATCTTTTTGTCATTTGCATGTGAGAGTTTTGGATAGTGGTTTGTTGTGGATTTGCGCACATGCCCATTTTGTAAATCTGTTTGCACAATATATACTTCCATTCTACTTAATTTGAGATGGAGACTATGTTGACCCTCCTCCTACCAGTGGTTGTACATTTTTTCCAATACCGCTTCGTTTTGCACTGGAGTTGACTGGCCGTGAATGGTCCGTCGCACCATAGCCATTCTACACCTTAGAGCACATCCATTTTAGCTTTACACACATTCCTGTCTGTAGATGGTTCTTCTACAGTTTTTTCTTCACAGGATTGACATTCTGGTATATTGTGATTTGGATTCAAACCCACCTGGTTTTTCTCTCTCTTTTGGTTTTGCACCTCCCACTTTCTGCCCATACATGTGACACCAATTTCCACACTGGGTGCAGAGTATACCTGGTATAGAAGTGGTGTAGCCTCCCACGTGTGTTCCTCTCCCAATGAGGATCACACTTCTTGGGTGTTATTCAGACGCTTTCATAGGATATTTATTTCTATCCCTCATAACTGGTCCCTGCACTTATTCATTGTGGGATTTTAGCAATTCATGTGAGTAGAGGTAATATACCTTATCTGAAATTATTATTTTCTTATACTGAAAATATATTTCTGGTATGTACTTACTTCCTCTCAAACTTCCAACCATTCCTCCTCGCAGAAAACTGGTGCTTTGTTTCTGCCTAATCACGAAGTGATAGTTTGATAGAATCATATAGAGGGAGTCTCATGCATAAAGAGGGTGTGTCATACTCCTGTTGGTGGAGGGTTGTTGCATGATGATTTACATGGAAGATGCAGTTGATCCAAGTTGATTGTGGGGTACTTGGGAGTTCAAGGCTTGTGACATGCGTATAGAGGGCAGCACGGAACAAAAATAGCCATACATGTGAGATGAGGTAAGTAGTTATTAAAAATATATTTTCGGTATAGGAAAATAATAACTTCTATATTCTAATGGCAACAGAACAAGACACAAGTTTAAGACTAGAAAAATATATGCTATACTCCATCTAAGACAGTTTTAGGTTTCTAACAGAGTTATTGATTTATGGAATGAGTTGGCATTGATAGTAGTGGTTGACATCATTTTATTGAAGTTTAAGAGAGGAATTTCCTGTAAAGTATAGGGTATGTTTAAATTTACTTTCTCAAGACAGTGCAAAGACAGTCTTAAAGGACAAATGATCATTTGTTGTTTGTATGTAATTTTTAAAGATTTCAGTTCATACAACAGATCTGGCATGGCCTAGTTGTTAGGGTGCTTGACTCACAATCTGTGAACTGTGGGTTCAAATCCCCATAACTGAGTATGTTCACCATTTCAGACATGGGGGGGGGGTGTTATAATTTAATGGTCAATCCCACTATTCATTGGTAAAAGAGTAGCTCAAGAGTTGGCAGTGGATGGTGTTGACTAGTTGCCATCTCTCTAATTTATCAGTGCTAAATTAAGAAATGCTAGTACATATAGCCTTATAGTGGATTTGCACAAAATTCAGAACAATCCAAACTAGATCAAACAGGGACTGTATAATTGTATTACAGATCCTAGTAGGGGAAAGAGATATCCTGTCAGATGGTATGAAACAAAAGTTTCTGATGACTGGGAGCAAGAAATTCCCACAGAATGGGAAGGTAAGTGCTTTGTATAAAAAAATGTGTGATTAGTGGAATTTGATAAGTTATTAAACATCAGACATATTAATCAATTACACTCAACTAATAGATTATTTTCACAAGAGCTTTGAATAGTTTGAATAATCAAAAATAATAATAATTGGAAACACTAATTTTAATTAGCTAATTATTTTGACACTAATTGATTAAGCTGAACAACTTTCAATTAATTGAAAATAAAAATGAGAAATCAGAATGGTAATATTTTGATAACTTGGTTAGTTGGAATTATCAACACCAGAAATAATCAGAAACCCTAATTTAGATCCTGACTTATTCTTATTACCTACTTTGGAAAAAGGAGAAAGGCTGCCCAAACATTCTTGAATCTAAAGAGATCATATAGGTAAAGATTCCAGTTTGAAGGTATAAAAAAATCAAATATAATAATTTTCTATTATTTCACAGTACTTTAACAATTATTATTGCATTTTTTACCAAAGGATGGGCTTTTGAGAAATTACTTTCTTAGAAAAAAACAACAAATAGTGAGAAGATTAGTTAGTATTTACTAAATATGATGAAAGAATTTTGAAAACCTCAGCTATAGCAAAGGAATACATTTAGAATATTGTATTCTTGATATATATTCGGGACAAAGGTATAATGTTTAGAAACGTATTTGTTACTTATTAATTTAATTTTATATATATATATACATTATAAATTTTTGTTTTTTTTCCATAACAATTTAATTTGATTATATTTCATCTAAGGTTTGTACATGTTGCATAAATATCATGCTGTTCTTCCTTCTAATGTATTCTCCCTTTTTTGTTAAGATTTAGCTTTTCTAAGTAATATATATGTATATATGTGTGTGTTTGTGTGTGTGTGTGTATATATTAATGTATTTTCTGATGTTTTACTGTTTTCCTGGTTATTTTCAGCATGGCTTAGAGGACGAAGAACTTCTGCACCTGGTATTGAGGTACTAACAACTCAGCTGATATTTTTCTTATAAGTTGTATATTTTTCACTCAGAAGGGGATATTGTGCTTGTAAGTTAAGTGTATTTAAAGCTTTTAAGAAAATGTATAAAGGGCTGTATATACTTATGGATTTTCTAGAATAGAAACTTGCAATTCCAATACAGTATTTCTCGTACAGCTATTCTCGTTCACTGCTGCCCCCTATATGTGAATTTTTTCTTTATTCATGCCACAAGCCTTCTGCTCACCCCTATTGGAATCAAGTTATTCCATCCTGTGTCTCATGCAAATCATCATGTGTCACCTCTTCACCAATAGGAGCATAGTACACTCATGTGATGCATGTGACTCCTTCTGTGCACCTCTAACAAACTGTCACTTCTCATTTGGCAGTGCTTGTACTCGGGCTTCTTTCTTTTTGTCTTGCTTTCAGTTTGAGTTACAGTTATTTCTCGAAGTGGTTATGATTTTTTAACATACCCAGTTTTCATGAACGTTACAGTAATTCTAATTCTGGTCACCTTTATTTAATACATTTACTGTTGTTAACTGTTGAAGCATGAATTCCAAAGTCGATGTCACCACTTTGGGTGTCTCAATTTTAATAGGTGCTTTATCACAGGCTTCAGGTGTGGGCGACCCAACAGGAGATTTGTCTATGTTTATTCACAGGGAGATTGAACATTACATGGGTCAACCTCTATCTCCAGACATTGCCCCACTTCCTCCTGCATCTGTTAAATTTGTGCAGACTAGGACTTTGATCTCCTGTTTCCACCTCCTGAATTTGCTGTGCTTTCCCATACATTTCCTGGGGATTCAGTTCGACCTTCCACGTTTTTTTCGGACATTATTTCTCAGGTATGTGATGTTTTATCCCTCACACCTATTTCTTATGACCCACATCCTTCCTTACTGCATGAACATTCTTTCCACCCCTATATGGTTTTCTCCATACATGTCCATGCTGAACAATTCGCCTCTCGGTTACACAACAGCTTTAGCATGTTTCATCCCCCATGGGTTTCTGATCAGATTGCCCTTGCTTATCATCATGCAGACTGTCCTTATCCTGACCGGCAACTGTTGGGTTCTGTTTTGCCTGTTTGGGGGGGTGGGCCCCAAATTCCTTATTAGTTTAACCCACCTTATCTCCAGGATTTACATATGGCTCCATTTTTATAGTCTTTTGTCTTTGATACAGTCTCAGGGTCTTTGGAATCTTGGGTGGCATCAGTCCAACAACAGTCTACCCATCCCCATCTGGTAGCCCGTTTGTCTCAGTCAGAGCCAAGTGTGTCATCATTTCCAGTTTCCCGTCCTTTCCCAACCATTACCCATCCCTCCTTCTCAAGGTGCCACATATTGTTGTTTTTCTCGACAATGCACAATACATCGCCAACAGTTCTGGTGACTACCCACTGGGAGCTCAACTTGCAGCCTTTCTTCATCAATGGCTCCCTTTCATCAACAATGTTTGGGTTCTTCAATTTTTGTCAGATGGATTTGAGATGACATTTGTTGCCATACCTCCCTTGTCTCCTGTACCCGTTTCTTTTCCTTCACCTTGGGATCCCATTGTTTGTCAATGTCTATCAGAGGTGGTGCAGGATCTCCTCAGTCACCAGATTTTCGAACCTGTTACCCATCATTCAGCAGGGTATTTCTCCCATCTATTTGTTGTTCCCAGGAAAATTGGGGACATGAAGCCTGTCATCAATTCATCTTGCTTCATTCACCTCACCCATTTCACCATGGAGTCCTATCTCACCCTCCAGTGGGCATTTTCTCCAGGTTTATAGATGACCAAGATGGATGTTGGTAATGCTTACTTGTATATTTGTATCCCAGCATGGTATTGTCCATATCTTTGGTTCATCCATCACGGGGTGGTGTACCAGTTTCGTGCTCTACCCTTCAGGCTTACTTCTGTGCCTTATGTTTTCTGTCAGGTGATAAGGGCTTTTGCTCATCATTTTAATGCCCTGGGGCTGCATTTCCATTATTATGTGGATGACTGGCTTCTTCTGGCAAGGAGATCTGGTTTCCCCAGTTGTGTAGCTTTCCATTTTGCTCAATCCATACATCCTTATTCCTTGGAAGTATATAAATGGAAGTGGAAAGTCTTTCACACATGGTTCCATGCTCAGGGATTTCCAGCTGCTTGACCTATTGTATTGTGGCTGATGTCTCCAAGTTTCTCACGTGACTTTTTGACTGGGGGTCTTCAGTCTCCTCGATTTCAGGTTATCGGGCAGCCTTGTCCCATACTTTTCTTCTTGTTACCATGTTAATCTGTTCCTTCCAGATTTGTCATCTGCCCAACGATCTGCTCTTCCAGACTGGGATATTAAATGTGGTCTTCCATTCCCTTATTTTACCTTTGTTTGAACCTCTTTCCTCATGTTCTATGTTTCACCTTTCCCTTAAAGCATATTTCCTTCTTCTTTTGGCCTGTGGTTTTTGACATTCTGACTTGTTTGCCAGCAACATTACTCCCACACTTTACCACCAGACCTATCTTCTCCTTTATCTGGATCGTTCCTTCCTCTCGAAAACCTTGGCAACTCGGGAGGGTAACTCATCCTTTTTGACAATTTCTCTTCCCTCTGGTTCTCATCTCTACCCTCGTCCCACTCTGGATAGACTTCTATATCTGGGATGTGTCCTTTGTTGCTATGTTGCCCACACAGCTTTCTTCAATAGTTTCTGTTCCCGACTCTTTATCCCGTGGCAGTCTTCTTCCTTTAGAGATCTATCCCTTTCTACCCTCACCAATTGGGTTCATCATTTGATACAGTTGGGTTATTCCTCCTTGTCCTCTTCCCACTGTAATTTGTTCAGAGTAACTTCTAATCAAATCCAACACCTCACCTTTTCCCTCACTTCTCGTCTTCATTGGCCTTTGGAAGAAATCCTGCAATTGGGCATGTGGATCATCCCTAACACACTCATCTCCAATTATTTACATCATATCGCAGTGGCTGTTCTTCAAACTTTGGTGTGATTCTAAGACTGGGTAAGTCTCTCTTAATGCTTGATCTTATATCAGGAGCCCATCCTTCATACAGTCCTTACATGGATCCCACTCTGTAATATCCTCCAATTTGCAATAACCAATGCAACGGAGTGAGACGTCAGCATGAAGTTTTGATTGAAAACCCTCATCCTATCCTCACGTGGATGTCGGTACTTCGCAGGCTAGTTTTGGATTTAGAGTGAACCAATCCACATAAGTCCTCACACAGGTTATGGGTTGTCTATCTTCCTCCCTTAATTTCCCCCCTCTGTGTTGTGAGTCACAGTAGTGATACATGGGGTTGTTCCGGTTCTATCTTTGGCTATCCCTTGTTATCTCTTTTTATGGGGACGTTATTGCCATTTGGAGGGTCCCGGCCTGTTTCACAGTTGGGGGAGTTGATTGCATGTGATAGACATCCTTTCATTGCTGGATGTCAAGCTCCTGGATTGATAGCTCAGAGCTAATCCTTGTGTCATACTAGGGAATCGGAGTGGTTCTCACTTCTCCGGTTCTTAGGTTTGAGGTAAAGCCACTCTGCATTCAGGGGTGCATCCTTGTTTACTCACTTTTCTTATTGTGGGATTGAGTTAAAATATCTTTCTCTGGTTAGGATCACCTTCCTACCACATTCTTTCCCACTCGGATGTGCTACTTTCATTTTCTGCCCTGATATCTTACACATTCCACACATGGACAAAGAGCATACCTGGCTCAGAAGTGGTGGGGTTCCCCTCTTTGGATCTTATTCTCTCATCTACAGAGGTATCCTTCGGACAATTTCAGGTGGTATGTCTGTTCTTCACTCACACGGTCCCTCCTCCTAATCATTGTGGGATTCTAACTAATCTTGTGAGAGAAGGGAAGTATCGTATCGGAAGTTATAATTTTCCTATACTGAAAATGTATTTCCAATAGGTACTTTCCTCTTCTCACACTTCCCACACACTGTCTTTGCTTCAGTTTTTTGCCAAACTTTGAAGTGATAGTTCAGTAGAGGTGCATAGAGGGAGCCGCATGCATCATGTTAGTGTACTGTGCTATTGTTGATGGCGAGGTGAAGCATGATGATTTGCATGAGAGACATGTTGGAATCACTTGATTTCAATAGGGGAGAGCATAAGGCTTGTGGCATACGTAAAGAAAGAGTTCGCATATGGGGGGTGAAGCAATGAACGAGAATAGCTAATTTTGTGAGCGGAGGGAATTACTTATCGAAAATACATTTTCAGTAGAGGAAAATTGTTTCAGGTAAACAGTCTGCTCAGTTCTTGTTTTACTTTTACAGTATATTTCTGTTGCCTGGATAAAGAGCTTATTATAGCAAATTCAAATTTTGATCCATTTTTGGTTTCTGAAAGGAAAATTTTGGTCTAGCTTCTGAATCTTATAAACTTTTACGAGAGATTAAAATTGTTTATGTTAGTACTTTTATACAGTTTGTTTCCATGCATTCTCCATACCTATTTTCTATAAAAGTCATTCTGGTTCACTGCAAGGAATGTTTCACATTTTATATTATTTTCAAAGATGCGATAAATGGTCCATCAATCTGAATTAGTACTTAGACTGAAGCAAACTGTTGGCTGTGATGCATCACTTCTAGAGATATTGTTGTTTGATGTATATGTACACATATGAAAATAGTTCCATAAAGTTACAAAAATATGTTGCATACCAAATATTGCTTTATTTGTAAACTGGAATTGCTTTTATCTCTCTTGCAACAATATAAAATTTATAATTTTTAAAAAATGTGTGCAGGGTATTGCTAGGTTCAGTGGATGCTTTTCACAACAGGTTAATACTTACAGGTGTGTCAGTTATTACTTGGCTTGATATGCTGATTGATAATGACAGAAAGCATATTGAACACCTTGTATGACAATTTTTGAAACACCCTAAAGCATTTCCAATCTTTTCTGAATAACACGGTCTTCAGTATGCCTCTGATGAAATTTAGTTCCCCCAAAACAAATA